TTTTTTTCTGACACTAAAGCATGAATAAACATGCCCCGGGTCAAATTAACAAAGGAACATTATTGTTGTTCCTAAGAAACGAACATAACAGGAGGGTTAATTTAATAACTGTACTTTTGAGGTTAAACAAATGTTCATACTTAATTTAAATAAATTACAAGTTAAAAAGGGCATGGAGATTTCTCTTTTTTGTATCAAATAAAAAACAAAAATAAAAATCGAACCGTGAGACTAAAGTATCAAACCAAATTGTGAATTTTCTGTATCTTTGCACCACTAATATACATATATACATTTATTTTGAAGATGTCACACATTTTATAACCAAAGGACTCAAACAATGGGAATAATTTTATGCTCATTTTGAGCTCTCTGTTGTGTTTTTAGAAATGCAGAGATCYGTTCAGATAATCTTCACTGTCCTCCCAGTTTAGAACTAAAGACCTGATCCAGTTAGCTCAATCCCTGTGTGCAGTTTGTAACGACCAACTCACACATGGCTCTGTTTACCACAACACATTGTATGACACATCCACAGATATGGCAGCAGCTGATATGCTAAGCCTTTCATTTAAACATGTGATTGGTTTAAACAAAACTTGTTTAGTAATTGTTTTTAATTTTTCAAAGGACTGAAACTTCAAACTATTTGTCAGGGATTTTAACATTTCCAGTTATGTTCCTCATCCTTTTTATGTACTCCTTTTATTCACTTTGCAAGTTTGAAACATTGTGTYATCACAGCCAAGTTAAGTTTTTCTCCACTGCTGCGTGAGCTATTTTTGTTGTTGTTTTGTAAATTCCTGCTTCTTTTTTCTTTACTACTGGGTGAGCTATTTGTGAGCAGAAAAACATCACCAAATAAGGTACACATTTTGAACCTCCTTTTACCCCTCCCTTTGCTTCAATAAAACAGATTCTCTACGACAGAAGCTCAGAGAATTTGGGGGAGACTTCGTCTGAGTATGAGGTTCCTTCAACTTCTCCCTCTTTTGCAAAGGAGTGTCTGAAAACTCATMCCTTTGTGTCTGGTTCTATCGGTTTATTTAAGGTACATCATCTGATTAACCCTTCCACTATTCGCTTTTGAAATTGTGTTTCCTTTACATTTTCTCTCCTTACTGCCTGAAAATGTGCTGCATTGATGTCCTGCAAAGATAAGTCTTTGTCCTTATTTTGAAGCACTGTGTCCTTTAGTATTTAGCTCACACTGGAATCCCACTCAGCTGTTTCACACTGACGCTGATGAGGGAGAAATGGCGTCACGTGGTTCCTCAAACAGGATTAACCCAGCAAAAGCACCGACAGCTCCCTTCTGACTAATAATAATCTACAGAACAGAGTATGAGTCAGAAGAGTGCAGCGGTCTTTAATGTGCGCTGATGTTCTCAGAAGTCTTACTCAGACCCCGAATCCACAGTTTTTAAGCTCAATAATATGGTAAACATGTACAGTTGTTAACACTTTGAATCATCTCATGCAATATTGTGAGGTGTCACACTCAGTGTACTTATTGTGACTATTAGCTACTACTAAGTAYGTCAGCAAAATATCAAATTGAGTTCCAGACATTTTTTCTTAGTCGTGGCAGCAGTGTTGAGTTGGACTGCCTCCAAAAGTAAATGAGACGGTACACCATTACTTCCTGAGAGTTTCTTGTGGTTCATAAGAAATTTTGTTAACAGAAGAAACAAGTTTGACTTCAGCAGTAAATTAAGAAGTTTAAGCAAATATCTTGCCCAACGAGGAACACTGGGGTTCCAAGTTTAAAATAAAACGTTATTAATAAACACATTTTCATTATTAAGCTCACTTTCTAAGCTAAAATCCAAGTTAGATTGTTTTCACTAACATTGTTATTTAGCTCACTGCTCTTACATTTTGTGAATCCATATTGAATTTTCTATTTAAATGTTAAATATACGTATAAAATAAATCCTGAATCAAAATGAAAAAGTTAAAGTTAGATTTTGTGGCTAATGTTGAAGTTTGCATTAAAGTGTTTCGGAATGGTGCTCAGCTCTTGTAACTCAGCTAACACTGCTAACTCTGCTAACACTAACTCAGCTAACACTGCTAACTCTGCAAACTAACTCAGCTAGCACTGCTAACTCTGCTAACACTAACTCAGCTAACACGGCTAACTCTGCTAACACTGCCAACTCTGCTAACAATGCTAATGCTGCTCTACAAGATGTCCTGATGCATCTCAGTAATCCAGGTAAAAAATCAAAAGGAAAAAAAATTGTATAGGTCCTCTGGACGGGTTCTTCTTTAATGAAACGTTTCGTCTCTCCTCCAAGAGACTTCTTCAGTCTGAGAGTTTCAGGCAAAATTCAGGCTTTTAAGYCCAGTCTCCCTGTGACTGATACTCACATCACATGGCCATCGTTCACAGGTGACTGATACTCACATCACATGGCCATCGTTCACACTAATTAATACCTGTTGTTAACAGGGGGTGGAGTGATACTGCCAATGGCAGCGCTGTAGGAGGTGGACAGCTGAAAATGGAGGCCCCCACCTCTGTTTAATGATGGATGGTCTTTCTTCACAAAAATGGCTTCTTTTACTCCTCTCTCAAACCAACGTTCCTCTCCATCAAGAATGAGAACATCCTCATCTCTGAAAGAGTGACCGCTGGCCTGTAAATGAGTGAAAACTGCAGAGTTCTGGCCATTAGATGTAGCTCGTCTGTGCTGGGACATTCTTTTGAACAGTGGTTGCTTTGTTTCCTCGATGTATAACTGGTCGCAGTCCTCCTGGCACTTAACAGCATATACAATATTGCTCTGTTTGTGCCGGGGCACCGGATCTTTGGGGTGAACCAGCCTTTGCCGTAATGTGTTTTGGGGTTTGAAAGCCACTGGGACATCATGTTTAGAAAATAAACGTCTCAGTTTCTCCGAAACACCCRCAACATACGGAATAACCACTGGTTTGGGTCTGGGTTTGGGGTCTTCATTTTCACCTGAAGGTTGCATGGAATCCTGTCTGTGTTTCCTGTCTGCTTTCAGGAAAGCCCAGTCAGGATAACCACACTGCTCCAGGGCCTGTCGTGTGTGTGATTTCTCTTTCTGCCTGGCTCCTGGGTTTGTAGGGACACTGTCTGCTCTGTGGTACAGAGTCCTGATCACTCCTAACTTGTGTTCCAGTGGGTGGTAGGAGTCAAAACGCAAATATTGGTCTGTGTGGGTGGGCTTACGATATACGCCAGTTTCCAACCATCCTCCATCCGAAACCGAGACATCGCAATCCAGGAATGCCAACCTGCCATTTTTTACATCCTCTTGTGTGAACTTAATATATTCATCCACAGAGTTGATGTGATCAGTGAAATGTTGGACTTCCTGGGCTTTAATTTTAACCCAGGTGTCGTCAACATATCTGAACCAATGGCTCGGTGGCACCCCTGAAAAGGACATCAAGGCTCTCTTTTCCACTTCCTCCATGTACAGGTTTGCAACAAGAGGAGAAACTGGGGATCCCATGGCACACCCATGTTTCTGCCTATAATATTGCCCCCCTACGTGAAGTAGGTTGATTCCAGGCACAGTTTGATGTCTTGCTCTACAAGACATCAAACTTGCAGACGTGGCTGATGTCCAAGCTGCACTTCAAATTGCCGGACCACATAGCCTACCATCCATATTGTTTTCAATTAAAGTATTTTAAATTTAACTTTGAAATGCCATCTTCAGTAGTGTTAGCAGTTTTGTATGTAGAGTGCAGTGGAGTGTTGTGAGTGACTCTCAGCTACTACGTTGATTTGACTGTGGCAGCCATCTTGAATTGGATTGACTCCAGAAGTGAGTTAGTTGTTGATGTACGTGCAGTGAGTATTTCTTGAAAGTTTCAATTAAATCTCTCTAGTGGTTCAGGACATATTTGGGTATACACTCTTACACACTCACAATAAAAAAATAAAAACAAAAACGTTGCTTTTTTGTCTTTTGTCAGCAGGTGATAAACATTTATTTCCATGTAAAAAAAAAAGAAAAAAGAGGAAAAATCAAGTCCTTTCTGCAGCTCAGTGTGTCCACTTTCTGGTCTCCAACGTTTGGTTCCTGAATCGGGTCCACTGAACCCACTTCTAACTCTCTGTCCTTCTGTTGTGACGTCCAGCAGAGACAGAGCACGCTCAGAGACATCCAGATGTGGAGGCAGCACAGCAGCAGAAGCTCAGAGAGAGGCAGCGCTTCTTTGAGGAGGTGATCCAGCATGAAGTGGATGTCTACCTGTCCTCAGCACACCTGTGCATCAGGGACTACAAGAGACGTGAGTTGCATGTTTCTGCACTATGATGTAATAATGAGCGAATGCTGCAGCTGCTTTCTCTCCGTTTGCAGCTCCCATCAGCAGCATCTCCTCCATGGAGGTGAACGTGGACCTGCTGGACCAGATGGAGCCGACTGACAGCTCCGATCAAGACAATTTGGACGTATTCTTCAGCCCTGTGGGAGACGAGGGGTCGCTGACCTCTCCGCTGGCAGGTATGACCTCTAAAATCAGCAGAGCTCAAACTCAGCACATCTGCACCTCCTAAAGGTGTTTCTGTTTCTACAAATCCAAGGAGACAACAGTACCGTCGGTGACGGGCTTTTCCGGCACGTCCTCGAGAGCCTCGACCGCAAGACCCGGATGTCTTCCACATCTTCAGACTCGTCCTCGGACAGCCAGAACATCAACAGGGCAGAGACCCCTGTGGTGGGCTCAGACGATGAGGAGACCCAGAACAGCAGAGCTGAGCGGGGAGGAGCCTCAGCAGGCAGGAAAGACAGAAAAACCCAGAACCTGCATCCATCTTTACAGGAAACTGAGTCTGCAGCATGAAGCTGTTTGTGATGGACACGTCAGACAGGGGCAGGGACAGAGACAAACCAGGTCTCATCCACAGCAGGCTGTAAAGCTGAMATTTTACAGGCCGTAAAATGTAAATACGTCAACTGTGATTAAATTACTCTTCTTTTTACTTAGAGTCTGAGGGATCACTTTTACTAAACCTGATGAATTAAAGCAATAAACTAAATAAAAAGTTTAATTTCTACAAAAATTGCCTTTTGAAATTTAGATGATTAGTTTTTGACTAACAACCCATTGTGATGTCTCTGCTACGACAAGGACTTTTCTACATCTGATTTTATGTTTTGTGTCTTGTTTTAATAATAAAGGAACAGAGGGAAAATGCCTTTTTTAACTTCTGAATGAATGTGATTCAACTGCATCCGTATCAAAGAAGTGTCAGTTTTACAAATGTTCAATTATTTTTAATGTGGTAGTAGCTGAGACTGATGCCTGACGCACATTCGGAGCATTAAGAGATTACAAAAACCATCCATCCATCCATCCATCCATCCATCCATCCATCCATCCATCCATCCATCCATCCATCCATCCATCCATCCATCCATCCATCC